GATATAAAAATGCAAATATCATTCACAAACTATGAAGACTTGTTTTCATACATGCTGAAGTTAATACAAACTACAGTATCAATTAATTTGTCTCCCAACATCACATTGCTATAAAACAAGTTTAGAAGCAATGTTACTCAATTTTACAAGCAAACTTATCATACATGCATGCTGAAAAAGTTTTCAAATTGAACTAAGTACACTGGGATTCTACTTTTGAGACAAAATTTCCTGAAGTCACTCAAATTTCCATCCCAAAAGGTAACTTGTTTTGAAGTAAGGTGATGAGAGTCGCCATATTTGTTTGTACTTGTGATGCCAAGTTATTGTGCTAGCCAGTCAAAATTGGATTCACACTGCAACAACAACAGCACCAACAACAACAGCAACAACAACAACAGCAACAACAACAACAATTGTTGTGCAATAAGTTTGCACACGAGTGAAAAAATGAGGAACATCATTTCTCAACGTGTTTTTCAGTAATGTTACATGACAACTTGAGTGATTTTGCTGTTTACATTGTCATTCCTTAAGCTGTACCCATCAAACATAGCAGGTCCTTCATACTATAAAATGAAATAGCCAGGGCTTTTGATACAATGAGTGGATGCCAAACTGCATCCTGGAGCAATTCCGTATCCTGAGCATACATGTATTTTCCATGTAATAATGCAAATTTGTAAAAAAAATAAATAAATTAAAATCTTAAACAATGGAATCTAATTGCAAATATGTAACTTGAACTGAATTTTATTTTTTTTCCATATTGTGTCTTTTTCCATCTGATGGAGCCTTATTGTATCTTCAAAAAGAGTCTCAAAACTAGAACAATTCGATATAATATATATCATTGATATTCCTTTATACATCCTAACTCTTCCTTTAATCTTTTATTCAGTTGCCAAACAGTTTCAAGAATATATGGACCCAGATGAGGCAGGGAGCGATGACAATAAACGGAGGTCTGGTGCTGGGTTAAGTGARGAGAAAGTGCTCCTTCCATTGGAAGAAGATGTACTTGTTGACAATCTTGGACTTCCTGTTGTAGTAGTTGTTACTAAGGTAACCAGCTATTAGGATGTTTTTTTTTACAATATTTTCTGGGTTTATTTGATATTTTGACAACCTTTAATTATAGTTTTTAGTATTTCTCAATGTTTCAAATCATTTATAGGAAACAAGTGTGTATGTAGTATATTTTAGGTCATTGGTAAATGAGTGTAAGTTTAAAGAGTTATATTCTCAGTTGGTGTGTTAATCAAGCTCTTTTTGTCTCAGACTGACTGCATGTCTGCACTAGAAAAAGATAGGGACTACAGAGAGGAACATTTTGATTTTATACAACAGCATATCAGAAGATATTGCTTGAAATGTATCCTTATTATACACTTTAAACAGATTTGTCATCTCATTTCCATTTGATATACAACAACATTTTGCTGGTACATAGTGTACGCAATATTCACATTTTTCTGAATCAAAGTTGTAATCCTGTTGAATTTAGTAACAAGCATTCAGATAATTCTTTCTTTATATTATGTGTATGAATTCACAGTCTCCATGTTGTGCATTCTGTATGTTCAAAGGAAGTCTCAGTGTTTGGTTTGACTGCATACATGCACACACTTGTAATAAAGCTGTTTTCCTCAATTTTGAGTCCAGATGGTGCAGCACTTTTTTACACATCAGTGAAAGAAAATAAAAATTGCAGCCTGTTTTTGAAATATATACTTCATCGCATATATGGACTGCCATTTCATAGCTCAGCGCTTGTTGTGGACAAAGACTCTGTGTTCATGTAAGTTTTTCTGTTATTGATRCAGATCTCTGATACAAATACCTGTCTAGTGATGAAAGCTTTGATTGTTGCTTAGCTAAAAGGTGTATGGGTTTAAGATTATGTTTGGCATATAAGTGTGTCCCTAATTACTTGGTTGGTCTTTTAAACTATCTGTTGACTCATTCAAATAACAGCAGTTAATCATTTGTGGAATGCATTTGATGGGTGTAAATGTAGCAAATTGTGCATTAGGAAGTCATGTTTTCTTCTATTTGTGATTTTCAGTCCTTCTGGTTGGGATAGTATTAAGAAAATCAATATTGTGAATGAACATTTAAAGGGGATTCACCCTGATGACAACTTTGATGACCACATTATCAAACCTATACAAAGAAAGGTAAACATGACTACATTATCCCTGGGATCATAGTCAAACATCATGTTTAATGGTGGATGTACTTTTCTCAGCAGCCTTTGCAAGAAAAAGAAATTGTTGCAGAAGAAGAACAAGAATTTCTTGTAAAACAACAGGTACTATTGGTATGATATTACAGGGTTTTAGGGACCATTAGGTACTGGTGATATGATATTACAGGGTTTTAGGGACCATTAGGTACTGGTGATATGATATTACAGGGTTTTAGGGACCATTAGGTACTGGTGATATGATATTACAGGGTTTTAGGGACCATTAGGTACT